CTTGCACATGTATGTTTGATTTATTTCACTTATGAGTATGGTCTCTAGTTGTGACCATTTAAATATAAAGGCCTTGAGTTTATCTTTCTTTATAGCTGAGTAATATTCCATTATATAAAAGTACCACAATTTTCTTAGCCAATTCTCGGTGGAGGAATGTATTCTTTCCTAGTTCTATTTCTGCCCAGTGCCCTCTGACTTATCCCTTTTCTTTACTGGTGTATGTTTGTGACACATTGTGTTTGTTTAGAGGAATTAGTATGTACATGTCCTATCTTGATCATTTTCCATTCCCTTTTCCCATTCCTCTTTACCCTCTATTCTCCTCCCTTTCTCTGATCCCTTCCTCATCTCCAAAGAGTCTGCCTCCCTGTTTCCTACCATCTCTCCTTTACTTTATTGGTTGATTTATTTATATTATGGATTTCTCATATAAAAGAAACCATGTGATATTTAATCTTCTGTGACTGACTTATTGCACTTACCATGGTTTCAAGAGCCAACCATTTTCCTACAAATGACTCAAATTCATCCTTTCTTATGGCTGAATAATACTCCACTGTATGTATATACCACATTATCTATCCATTCATCTGCTGATGTCCATCTAGAATGTCTCTACAGTTTAACTATTGTGACTTGTGCTGCTATAAACATGGGTATGCACATATCACTACAGTATGATGCCTTTAATTCTTTTGGGAAAATACCCAAGAGAGGTAGAGGTAGGTCCAAGGGAATTCCTGTTTTAGTCTTTTGAGGAATCTCTATTGATTTCCATAGTGATTACACTAGTTTTCATTCCCATAAGAATGTAGAAAAGTTCTTTTTCCCCCACATCCTCACCAGCATTTGTTGTTTTTTGATGAACTACTCTGATGGGAGTAAGATGGAAGCTCAGAGTTATTTTGATTTGCACTTCCCTAATGGCCAGAAATGCTGAACATTTTTCATGCATTTATTGGCCATTTGTACTTCTTCTTTTGAGAAGTGTCTATTCATTTAATTTGCCCTGCTATTTTTTATTGGTTCATTTGCTTTTGGCAGTCTAATTTTTTTGAGTTAACTCACCCCCTGTTCCTGGATGAGCAGAATTAATACCATCAACATGGCCATATTACCAAGAGTGACATAGATTTAACACAATTCCTATCAAAATACCAAAATTCTTCACAGAACTAGAAGAAACAATCCTAAAATTTGGAATGAGAAGAGACTCAAAATGGCCAAGCAATCTTAACCAAAAAGAGCAAAGCAGGCAGTGTCATGATTCCAGATTTCATACTATGCAGCTATAGTAACAAAACTAGCATAGTACTAGCACCAACATATACCAGACCAATGGAAGAGAAGACACAGAAACAACCTCATGCACCTTCTATCATCTGATCTTTGACAAAGGAGCTAAACACATAGGCTAGAGACAAGATAGCTTCTTTAACAAATGGTGTTGGAAAAATTAGCTATTCAGATGCACAAGATTGAACTTAGACACAGCTCTCATTCTGTACTAAAACCAAATCAAAATAGATCAAAGACCTATATGTAAAAACAGAAACATTGAAATTGCTGGAAGATAAAATGGAGAAAACACTTGAAACTATAGGCCTAAGCAAGGACTTCCTGAACGTAAGTCCAACAGCACAAGAAATAATACCAAGAATCAATAATGGGATTATATTAAATTGAAAAGTTTCAGCACAGTAAAAGACACAGTTGTCCTTTCAAAGGAGAAGCTATGGCAGCTGATACCCATCAGTTAATTCATAAGCCAAGAAAGGAAAAATGCAGTGGAAATCCCAGGCTAGTCACTTGCTTTGAGACCAGACATCTTATCTGCTCTGAACTTTTAAAAGCACTCCTGAATCATCTTTTCCCCTAAACTGCTTTTTCATTTCCCTCTTAAATGCCTGTAATCTCTTGTCAGATGTGTGAACCCAGACACTCTTCTTCCCGGTTTTCCCAACCTCTTGTCTCCTTTCGTGAAGTTTCAAGTACCTGCAGGCAAATAACTTTGTCCCCGGGTCTAGCAGAGTCATCTGCAGAGTAGTCCCCATCTTGGCGAGATTGCTGCCGGCCCCGGGTTTTCCCAACAGCCACGGGGTTAACAGCTTCAAGGTGGGAGGGATTAGGCAGCATTGTCACATGGAGGGGACTGTGAGTACCAAAGTCCAGGTCCACAGAGGAGGTCAGGTGAGACAGGACATCTCCAGTGGCCAAGAAATGTTCTGGAAATTCGCTTAAGCCTCGCATTTTCCGGAACATTAGCTATTATGAATAAACATACAAGTTAAAGAGTGTCTTTTGTCACAAGGTAGACTACAGAAAAGGTGGTTAGCTTAAATAATACAATAAAAATAAATTCTATATAAGTGCTTTTGCATTTATTACAAACATGCATTAGTTAAGGATAGGCACAGACTTCTAACTGCTGGGTTTCTTTGAATGATTTAGAAAGTTTTGGAATCAAATGAAATGGTAAAATTTTAAGAGGGGTCTAATCTAAGGCAAATAGTAAGTAACTGCTGCCTTGCAGTAATCTAAACAACTTTTATTTTTTGAGACAGGGTCTTCTTGTGTATTTCATGCTGGCCTTGGATGGCCAAGGCCTAAGCTGGCCCCAAACTCACAGCAATCCTCCTGCTTCAGCCTCTTGAGTGCTGGGATTACAGGTGTGCGCCACTATGCCTGACTTAAATAACTTCTTTAAAATACACTTGTCAGAGTATATTTGCCAAAACACCTTTGTATTAGTTCTGTGAAAGGTGGGGAGGACTCCAACAGGATGGAATGCAATCTCATGTAGAGAGAGGATGAGGGACACTACTCAGCTCGGGTCAGACGTAATGCCTCTGCCATCCAATTCACAAGGTCTCCCTGTAACACAGTCTCTCACTTCTCCTTCAATCTCCTAATGTAGGTGCTACCCATTTTGAAAATGAACAAATAAGTAAATTGTTAAAGGTCCTTAGCTAGTAAATAATAAAGCTGAGTTCCAAACCAAGGCATTTACTAAAATCACTATGTTATTCTAAAGTATCCAAACTGTTTGAACCAAAATTTTCTTTAGCTTCTAAAAGCTTCTTATTGACCTATCTACAATCGGGAATATATATAGTCACACAGTATAGGCACACATGTTTCTTACAAACATGATAATTTATAATCATCTCTGCATGTTTTGTAATGGAAATTTTAGGAATGTACTTTTTAGTCTAAGAATTATGGCATATCTTGAGACATATATCTCAATGATATCAATGTAATATTCAACTGAGTTATGAATAAAAGTGGTGAATTTGACCTACAGACTTGATATTATGTATGAATATATATGTGTCAGCATGTGTGTGTTTTAAGGGATAGGAACTTGCTATATTGCCCAAGCTGACCTTGAACTCCTGGACTCAAGTGTTCCTTCTTCTTTAGCATCCCAAGAATCTGGGACTCCAAGCCTGCACCACCACACTCATTGAACACCACATATATTTTCTAGGTCTTCACGCTAATATGTACATTGTTCCCTGAGCTTTGTTCACTGAACCTAACTTTGGTAGACTTTTTCACATTTACACTCATTTTTAATTTCCTATCCTAGAACAGCAGCAACATTTATACATGCAAATGGATTAAATATCAGATCTCTGTCATGTTACCTAACATAAAAATCTTCATTCTTGACTTTTGTGATTTACAAAACAGGTTAGACCAACAGGAATACCAGGATCTAATTACTTATAAATATTATGGGTCTCCCTGCTACCCATTTTTTCTCTGCTAGGATTGAACCCAGGCTCTGCACATGCTAGGCAAGTGCTTCACCAGCGAGCTATATCCACAGACCTTGAGTGATCTCAAGATAACAATGCATTATTACTTTTTAGGACAATCTATTAACTTTATACTCAGCAAATAATGGACCCATGGCTTCTTATAAGGTAAGATGGTATGCAATTATGTAAATCTTTGTGTTATTTGTACAGCTAGTATTAAATGAGAAAATATGCTGCAAAGAATAGAATTTAGCTCTATTTACATCATTCCTAAGGAAACAAATCAAACTTTAACTTCCTCGAGAGGAGAAAGAATCTATACAAGAATGTACAGGATAGCTGGGCATGGTGGTGCACATCTGTAATCCCAGCACTTGGGAGGTTGGGGCAGGAGGATCAATGCAAGTTTGAGGCCAGCATGGGCTACAAAGTAGGCTCAAGGTACTAGTGAGACCCTGTCTCAAACCAAAAAAAGAAAAGAAAAAAAAATGTACAAGAAGTTAATTCAAATACCATTCTGTCTGTCAGCATTAATTTCCATCCACTCATATCGGTATCTCCTGGACCATCTGCTCATACGGGAAAAACCTCCATGAGTTTTACTCTGTTACTGTTGATTGTACAATGCTGGCAATAATACAGCAAGTAACCTTACCTCTGGAGGCAAGTGAAGAAGGCCTGTCAGCAAATTCAGCCGCCCTCTATGGGGCATCCCAATGATGATGTCAGTTACCCCATGGTATGCTGATGTTTTCAACAGCTCGTGGAAGAAGCCCATCATGCTTTCGGCCCCTTCACCTCCATACCGCTTCACTGTGGCAAACTTGGTAGCTAAGAAGTGGTCAAATTCCTGTGGGACATTCCAGCGGACATATCAGCTGCTGGAAGGGGGCCAGCAGCTCAGGTGAAAGGCAGATGTATTTCTATGCGCTGTTAAAGACCCATATCACCCCACGGGCACACTAGTGCCCTTCACTAGGTGCAATCCCAGAGACACAGGCAACCCTGGGCAGTTCTGACCAGGACCCAGCTGCAACAAGGGCCTGGAGGGAAGGACCTGAGTAGGGGCAACACACTCCAGGAGGGACCCCTGCAGTGTGTGTTCTACACTAGAGTCCAGGCCTTAGATCCCTGCTACCTCTCTCAAGACTTCAGTATTAGCAGAGGGACCCACAGTATTACATTGTCAAGGTGGCACCCTATTTAACTGCCTAAACTATTGGGAAGAGCCTTCTCATCCTTACATGGCTACTTCATGATCATGGCCCTGGCAGAATTTGGTTCCACTAATCTGTACCTAGAGCATCTTCCATGTACACGTAGTATTTTGACCACTTTGGAAAACAAAAATAAGTTGAAGCAATGAGGCAAGAGGGAGGGCCCTAAACTCAGAGTCCTTGCCTTCACTTTCAGTCTGCAACGGTTGTGTGTAGTACTTGTTTTGGAAATGAGTCCATCTATTTCACTGATAGGAGCTGCCACTTTTATACCTGAGATTCTAGCATTAGCTTTGATAGATGTTTTCGCTCTTCTGGGGTAAATGTCTCCTTTTTCAGCTCCTCAAACCGCTTGGCAAACCAGTCTTTTTCCTCCTGGCTCTGCAGTTGGGCAGTTTCAATAGCAATCGGTCCACAGTAGATTTGGCTGAGATAGGCTAATACTTCTTCAAGAGAAGCCTCTTCCTGCCCCATGTTCAATAATCCTAGAAACAGAATCAGAGACATTGTTTTAGAGAATGATCAATGATGTAGCAAGTAATTCTGGAGCACAATAAAATACTGTAATTCCTTCAAATCAGAGCACTTCACTGTTAATGACTTGAGTCATTATCAACACTTACTTACATTTTTCCCTCCCTCTCTTGTCCTTCCTTTCCTTCATTCCCTCAGGTACTAGAGACGAAACGCAAGGCCTTTTTCATATTATAAAACTGCTGCACCTCTGAGCTCAACCCTCAGTCCTATTTAAATATTTTTCTAAAGGCAAAACTAAAAATATTGTCAAAGGCTATGAACCAGTAAAATAAGAAGAGGAAAAAATACTTTTATCACAAAGACATAACCTTGCTGCTTTTCCCAAGTTTTGGTTCTATAGTAACTTCACACCAAACCTTTTTTTTAATTTTAAAAATAAAAGAAGGACAACATTAACAAACAGACATCCATTTACAAAATAGCAAAAGAACAATACAAACAAGACAGAGTTACAAAGAAAGCGGTAGGAAATTAACAATGCTTGTTGTATTATGTATTGATATCTTCAAAGTGATTTCTCAGGAAAACAAATACAGACATACAATATTGATCAGTCAAGGAATCATTAACTGTTTCTTTAGACAAAGAAATAGAAGACAGTAGTTCAACTATGTTAACTATCTTGTATATACATATATACAAACTTTCTCCTTCTTTCCCTTCTCTTTTCCCACATCCCAGTTGCCCTTTACCCTTGAGCATTTTCATTTCACAATGTCTATCATACCTTCTAGTTTTATTCACTCTTTCAGATTTTACACTAGTGACACAATGCAGTGCTTGCACATGCAGGTCTGATTTATATCACTTATGAGTATGGTCTCTAGTTGTGACCATTTACCTATAAAAGCCTTGAGTTTATCTTTCTTTATAGCTGAGTTATATTCCATTATATAAAAGTACCACAATTTTTTTATCCAGTCCTTTGTGGATGAACATTTGGGTTGCTTCCACAATTTAGCAATTACAAATTGTGCTGCTGTAGACATAGGTGCACATATATCACTGTGATATGATGTTTTCAGATGTTCTAGCAAAATACCCAGAAGGGGAATAGCTGGGTTGAATGGGACCTCTAGACCTACTGTGCTAAGGAATACCAAACTGATTTCCACAGTGGTTTCACCAGTCTGCATTCCCACCAGCAGTGGAGAAGGGTTCCTATCTCTCCACAGCCTCATCAGCATTTGCTATTGGTTGATTTCTTAATGCTAGCCATTCTTACTGAGGTGAGATGGAATCTCAGTGTTGTTTTAATTTGCATTTCTTGAATGACTAATGAGGTTGAACATTTTCTCATGTATTTATTTGCCGTTTGTATTTCTATATCTGAGAAGTGTGTATTTTTCTCAGCTGTCCATGTTTGGATTGGGTCTTTGAATTGGGGTGGAGGCTGGCGTTTTTTAATTCTTTATATGTTCTAGATAGAAGTCCTTTGTCCCAGGGATAGTCAGCTAAAATTTTTTCCAAGTGTGTGGGTTTTCTTTTTACTCTGCTGGTGATTTCTTTAGATGTGCAGAAACTTCAGTAGGATGAGATCCCACTTGTTGGTTCTTTGAAGTGTTTCACGTGCAGTTTAGTTTTTGTTCATGAACTCTCTGCCTACCCCTATGACTTCAACGTTTTTACCTACTTTCTTTTCCAATAGATTTAGTGTTTCAGTTCTAATATTGAGATCTATGATGCACTTTGACTTGAGTTTGGTGCATGGTGATAGACTTGGGTCTATTTTCAGTCTTTCACAGGTGGCAAGCCAATTTTTCCAGCACCATTTATTAAAGAGGCTATTGTTCTTCCAGTGAGATTGTTGGACCCTTTATCAAATATTAGGTGCCTGAGTGTTTTTGGTTGTGGCTCTTTCTT